GCCTAGTGGTTAGGCTACCGGACTCGTAACCTTGAGATTGCGGGTTCGTGGGTTCGAGCCTCACCTCGGTCCGACGTTGTGTCCTTGGGAAAGGCGCTTTACACAAATTTCCCACTTGGCTCGGTCCTTTCGGAGACGGACGTTAAACTAGGGCGCCCCGCCTCTTAAATAGCCTAATAGTGTTGATAGGGGGGTTAAACCCATACCATTTCACCATTTCACCACACACGGAGCGGGAGGTTAAAGGGCGCCACTGGCATGTCCTTCTTCTTCACTTTTCCATCTGTTGTTTCTGTTGGTCTGTATTACTTTTTCCCAGCACTGAGTAACCATTATTGTGTCATGTCAATGCTATTCTCTTTACTCAAATAAACCAATTCCCTCCCCCCACCCCCTCAGAGACATCGCGTTGGCCAACGATTCGCGTAAACGAGAGCGGATACGACAGCGACTGCGGAGTGAGAAGTCTGAGGAGGACAAGGCTGGGGCGGAGGACGAGGAGTATGTCGGCGGGCTGGACGAAGGACTCAGGGCTCTCTCCTGGTCAGTACGATATTTATTATTATGTGTTGGTTGTCATCATCATCATCGTCGTTGTCGTCATCATCATCATCATCATCATCATCATCATCATCATCATCATCATCATCATCACCACCAGACGAGTGGAGGTGTCGCTAAGCATATTGTCAATGGAGCCGAAAAAGAGCCTCGCTCTCGCTCGAAGATTTCTTCGTGGAGTCCGTCAGACCCATTAAGGAAGAAAAAAAAATCATCATCATCATCATCATCATCATCATCATCATCATCATCATCATCATCATCATCATCATCATCATCATCATCAATGCCTTTCACCCCTGGCAGAGAATATAGGCCACATACAAACTCCTTCCAATTATTCTGTCCTGGGCCATCCTTCCAAGCTCGTTCAAAGTGAGCTTCATCTCTCTCATGTCCCTTTCCACACATCGCCATGTTTCTCGTGGCCTACCCCTGCCTCGTGCTCCTTGTGGGTTCCACTGCTGGGAATGTCTTGTGGTGATGTTTCTGCCGGGGCGGTGCTACTGACTGATGTGTCTTTAACTTTAAGCCATTCCCAAGGGGGGGGACATTAACGTCTCGAGTTCTTATGCACAGTAGAATTGCAATTGTAAAAGGGCTGATTCATCAATGTCACGCTCATAACCTACTTCGCCTAAACTGCAACAGGGAACTGCTGCTTTCTTCTTTCTTAATCCTTACTATCTTCCTTTTCCTCTTCTTCTTCGTTTGTATGCGTGAAATGAACGACCTGTTATTATAATAATACATGTGAGGCAGCGTGGTGGAATCAGGCTCTCGCCAAAACTATCAAAGTGAAGAAACTTGCATTTTTTAAGCAGATTTGTGAATTTTTATCAATTTTTTGTTTTTTGGTGCTACACCTTTCATGCCCATTGAAGAAGTCATTTATGTGGGGATTTTTCTGAAAAATATTTATTAAAGGTACAAAAAATGTAAATTTTTAGTTACCACGGACTCTTAAGCTAAGGAAATAACTACTGTTTGGCGGCCATTTTCTCACTAATTTTACCTCTGAAAACAGGTGATCCCCACCTCCTTCTTTCGCAAATATCTCGACTTGTATTCAAGATAAATGGATAATTTTTTCATCCATATAAAGACAAGTGAACAAGCTTTAAGAAAACACCAATAACTCTACGTGCCCAAAATTGACGAGAGCCTGATTCCACCACGCTGCCTCACAATTAATATGTGTAATTACCTTTTTTTCCAAAGCCGTATATAAAATTATGTGCTGGTGTTCATTGAGTTTTGGTTCGTCAGATGTTTTTTTTCCATAACACCTCTGGTGTTATATTTTTCTACGGGTGTTGCCAATTCGAAAGTTTTTTTATACCCCTAGTTTTGTCATCCTCCCCCCC